TTCGGAGTAACTAGAAAAAAAAAAAAAAAAGGAAACCAACTAAAAAACCAGGAAACGATTGACGGAAGACTTAAAAAATTGAAGGTTGCATGAGTCAGGAAAACATGAGGATGGGAGAGAGTTCCAAAAGGAAGTGCAGGTAAAAAAACTAAACTAATAAAAGTTTTTAGAGCATCCAGGGAGAGATACAGTAAATAAATAAGACTTTGCTGAATGACGAATCAAATGAGAATGAGTTTTAGCTGATGGAAGTAAAGATATATATATATATATATATATATATATATATATATATATATATATATATATATATATATATATATATATATATATATATATATATAGCTCCTTTGAGCAGCAACCATGATAGTATTTGTGGAAAAGAGAAAGAGATGCAACATTAATGTAAAGGGAAATTCAAGCTTAGCAGATAGAGCAGGTCTATATTAACGATGCGTTTTTGGACCTTGTCTAGAAGAGAAAGAACATCATTAGAAGAACCAGCCCAGATATGATAACAGTATTCCATAAAGGGACAAATAAGATATTTGTAGAGGTAAAGAGAAGCAACCTTAGCAGATACTAATATAGCAATTGATTGTGTAAACAGTTTCTATGAAAGGTTGGTAATAAATGATAATCTAAGAAGACATAAAGAAGAGAACTCATTGAGAGGGTTTTCATTTATAAATATAGAAATGTCGACAGTATTGCGATAGTTTGCAGTAAATAACTGAGTTTTGTTGAAGTTAAAATTTACAAGCCACTGTGAGCCTCATTCTGTTACAAAAGCGAGATCAGATTCAAGATCAACTACCTGTTCTATGCAATTGAAAAGAGAAGACTTTTTGTCAAGACAGAAGTATAAAGTTGAGTCATTAGCAAAAAGAGTTACTTTAGATGTAAGGTTGTCAGGAAGATCATTAATGTAGATAAAAAAGGATCAAGGACAGAACCTTGAGGTTACCCAGAAGTTACTGGAAAAGAAAAAGAGTGTTAACATTTAAAGAAGGACTTTAATAGAGAAAAGTTAGAAAGAAACAATTAGATAATCTCAAAAACGTTTTTAGATAGACCATATAAAACAAGCTTATGGAGAAGACCAGCAAAGCTTATGGAGAAGACCAGCCAAACTTTGTAGAAAGCCTTAGATATGTTAAGCATATGACCTAAGCCTCTTTGTCTCCACCTAATAAAACTTTTCAGCCATGGAAGTGGAACAATAAAGGACAAAGAGTAAGGTTATAGAGTGAAGAAATACTAAACAAAAACACATAAAAGCTAACTTTAAGTTAAATAAAACCTGATTTCACAATAAATAGGTGAATTTAAGTGTATGCATACCCTCAAGCCAAGCATGTGACTATTGAAGTCTATTGCTTTTTCGTAAATTTATTCAATAAATTGTAAATAAATTTTATTATAATTATATTTTCATTTTTACTTTGCTTTTTATTATTATCTTAGTAGGCTGTTCCTTATTTAAATTATTTTTGATTAAAACTAATCTCTACTACTCCTACCTGTCAATTAAACAGGAATTCTAATAAATGGGAGAATTAGAACCAGTGATGGAAACCAGATTTTTTGATGTTTTAGTAATGATACTTTCAAGCATTGTAAATATTTCCATTTAAAATTTGTTTATGTTCATTTCAAATAAGAATGTTTTGTATTTGTAATTGTGATGATTAAAGCTTGGAACTAAAAATTTTGTGTTTTGTAATTGTGGTGATTGAAGCTTGGGACTAAAAATACCTTAAAAAGCCAAAATGTAAGGTAATAAGTTTATAAAATATACTTATATATTTTTTCTATTTTATCAGTTTAGTAAAAGATTTTCTTTACTTGGAAAACAGTTCTGTGATTTAGCCAATTCTTCATAAATAATATATTTTAATACTTGTGAATGTATAGATAACTTTATTATTTGTTCACAAACTTTGTAATTACAAGATAACCTTTGCCTCCAACACCAACTTTCTTTATCAAATATGTGTGAAGTTATTATTTATTATAATAGAAACAATAAAAATAAAAGCACTTTAAATTTTTAAGCATCTAAAAGAATAGTACAAATAAAACTGAGTCATATTCACAACTTGAGTGGGCTGAAGTTCCTGTCTTTTGGTATGTTTTAGCTCCTGAAAATAAACTTTTTGTTTTCTTAACGTATCTAAATTTTAGAGATGAAGTATGTAGCAAAGTTGATGAAGGGTTCTCATTAATCTATAGAACCTCAATTGTAGCAACTAAAGGCAATTGATGTGATACCAAGCAAGTCAGTAGTAGATTTTTCTCAACAAATACATCTTCACAAGAACAATCTTCAGTTCTCTGCTTGTAAACAGATTTTTTGGATGCAGTATTCCTTTGCTTCTCCATACTGATATATAAGAGATACTGATATATATTTTGCTGTATTCTTTTCTAAGGCTTCATCGTGCATTGTTTTGTAATCATTATTCGTTAAGTTGCACTTTAATGAAAACTTGAAAAGTTGTAGTGGAAATGTTTAAACAGTTTAAAGGCATGGGAGAGAGTTCCAAAGAACCGAAATGTGGGAAAATCTTCTTGTGAAGTATTTTCAAGATCCTTTAACATCTTTATTTTCGATTCCTTCATTTCTTCTTCAGCTTCTTCATTTTATAATCTTCTTTACTTTATAATGAATCTTGTTGGTTTTGCAAAGAATCGAAACGTTTAAAAAAACTAGACCAAAGAATGTAAAAATGTAAAAAAGAATGTAAAAGAATGTAAAAGAAAAAAAAAGAAAATAATGAGTTTAGGTTGGTGTAAGTAGATATGATAGCTCCTTTGAGCAGCAAACATAATTGTATTTGTAGAAAAGAGAAAGAGATGCAACTTTATGACAATGGGAGAGAGCCTAGCAGCTTAAAGCAGCAGATAAAAAAATTACTTTTATAATGTGTTTTTAAATAAAGAATATCATAAAATACTATTAAAAAATCATATAACTTTTATTTACATTTTTAACAAACATTATTTTTATAATTATTTTTTTGTAAACTTATATGTTCAATAATGACAATAATGACACAGTACAAAATGTTAACTTTAACACCATTTTTAACATCATCTGTTAACTATTATTACATCATTGTTATAAATAACATCATTTGTTAACTTTTTATTTAACTTTATTAAATATAATAAAATTTTGGTCAACTTTATTAAATAAAACATATAGCATGCAAATATTTAGAGGTATTCTAGAGAATGAACATTTAGATATTTTTAAATTTATTTTTTATTTTTTTTTGGTAGTTATTTTAGGTGCTACCAGAAGTCCTTACGATCTTATCATAGAGCATCGCAGGAGAGCATTTAACAAGAAGTTCACGCCTCCTTCCATACCAATGTCGCTTGTAGGGCTAAAGCTGGCGTTGAACCTAGAACCTCTTGGTTCTGAGCCAGAACTCTAACCACTGCGCCACGGCTGCTCTTCAATAATAAAAACTTATTTTTTTTTCCTTCCTTTTTTTTATGTTGTTCTTTTAAACAAAACAATGTTTATAGTCTTTAAGAATTTATTTAACATTTATTTGGAACTACTTAGTACGTTACTAACTTAATTTATGTTACTAACTGTACCAAATAGAAGCAAAAAATTTAATTAGTGTTCTTTTAAAAACATTTTGAAACGAAAATAAACTATCTAATTTTTTAAAATGATAATTTACCTCCCCAAAACCAAGAAGGCCACTACAGTCTAATTTTTAGGAGACTAATTTAGTTGTGGTTACAACTCCCTCTCAACTCTATAACTCTGAAACACAAACCTCAACAAACAAGGTTGTTACGCCAAGAAACGAGTTGAGTGCAGTACTACTAGAGACTTGGTGGGGATTAAACTTGCAATTTCTCGCTTATGAGGCGAGCACTCTATCACTACACCACTACCACATTTAAGCAATTTAATGCTGTGATCAGTTAAAAAGAATATATAGAAGATAAGGATCATAGACCTAAAATGATCTGTTTTCTGTATATATATATATATATATATATATATATATATATATATATATATATATATATATATATAATACACATATATATATATATATATACATACATATATATATATATATATATATACATATACATACATATATATATATACATATATATATATATATATATATATATATATATATATATATATATATATATATATATGTAATATATATATATATGTATATATATATATATATATGTATATATATATATATATATATATATATATATACATATATATATGTATATGTATATATATATATATATATATATATATATATATATATATACATATATATATATATATATATATATATATATATATATATATATATATATATATATATATATATATATATATATATATATATATATATATATATATATTAGGGTGGTGCAAAAAAAAATTTTTTTTAATTTCTTTGATGGTACCATTTCTTTATGTGACATTATGTGTAGGAATAACAATCGTGAAGTTTGGGCATGATTGAATAATTTTTAAAGGTTGCTCATCAACATCAAGTTTTTTACTTTTTGGGTTTGAGTTCTCTTTTAGTGTGCAATCCCAAATTTTGAATAAATTATGATACAACATTGCATTTTAACTCTTACTGTATATTAATCCAAAACCATGCAGTATTTTTTAAACTGAATTATATATATTATTGTTTACAAATAAAATAATTGAAGAATAAAGTAATAAACTTCTGGTTTATAATAACATATTTGTGTTCACTATAGTAAAGACAAATTTAAAAAACAATAATAGTTCCAAAAAATCTTAAAAATTGTTAGAGTTTTAGGTTTCATTTATATTTCAGCTTCTTTGCAAAAAATTATTGTAATCTATGAAAAAAAATTCATTGGTTTTTGTTTCCATCGTTTTTTGATGACTTGGTTCCATCGATCAACAAAGATTTCTGTGGCAGAGGAAACTTTGACCTGTGTTCAGAGACTACCTGCAACAAGAATTGCTTTTGTTCTTCATTTTTGTTAATTGAACAATTAAAATCCTGAATTAGTTTTACTCCTCTTTCAGCCGTATCATTAACAACTCGTAGACTTTTTACAATTTTTTCTGCCTGTTGAAACTCTTCCTTTTCAGTCCACTTGTCAGGATCAACAGTTGTCAAAAAAGTAGTTGGTAATTCCAAAATGTTGAAAAAATTTAAGGTATTCTCTGCTACAAAACTTTCTATTTGCAGATTTTCAATTGAAGTTAAATCGATTTTTATTCTTTTCTGTGGTTCATCTTCTCCAGCATTTTGTAGAGCCAAAACCATTTTTGCTTTTGTTTCCTTGCTGATCTCCTTATCAAAAAAAGCCAATGCTACTATTTCTTCACTTAGATACCATAAATGCCTCGAAAATGCTGTTGCTGCAGCTGTAAAAATTCCATTGTTAATGGCTTTATGTTGAAAAACAGTCTTCAAGAAAGTGAGATCATTTGACGGAGCAAGTGTTGTTGGATTGGTACATGATATCCAAAATTTGGTGTACACCAAACTAGCAAACAAGCTAATACCTCAAAGTGATTTTTCTTCTTTTGCCGTTAATTTGAACTGCCTTTTGAACATCCATATTTTCATTGAAAATAAAATTTTGGCCATCCACCTTCCTCTGTGTATGGCTCCGGGAGCCATTACATGAGCCCCACGAGGAGGAACATCACCAAGAAACAACAAGGTTAGTTCCAACAATTCCTTGTAGTCATCTCGATATTGTTTACCAGATTCAAGAATTGTTTTCAAATAAAATAGTGCATCCTATTTGAGTATGGTGTGAGAAGCCAAAATGTCCGAACATGTTTGATCATTTAACGCTGTTTCATAATTATTTTTGTCAATTAATGACCACGAAAACGTTTAATTAATCCTATTTCAGGACCACTGGATTGCCCAAGAGAATGCTTAAAAACATCACTCAAGACGATTTCATAAATATGATGACGGCATGCCAAGTGTAATAGTTCTCTATTAAGCTTTTTTTCAATTAAAGTACACGCTCCAGTTTCGGTACCAGTGTTGGCAGCCGTTGTATCAAAACTAATTGCTTTAACTCGGTCTTGAATGTCCCAATCTAGTAAAGTTGTTATAACAGCTTCACTTATTGCTTTACCAGTACCCCTTGTTAACTTTGGAATGCCAAGAAGCTGGTCAACGTTGTAACCTGTAACAACAACTGCTAATCGACCAACTGAATCTCTTCCAGTAATATTTGGCAATATTTTGCCATCAAAATGAACAGTCAATGGAACATTTGACGAGTTAAATGCAAACTTTATGGTTGTAGCAATTTTGTTTCGATTAGTAATTCTAGCTCTCCGGATCGTATCGCGACTAATAGCAAAATCTGTAATGTCATGACCTAAACCTTTTGCTGCAGCTGCCAGTAAATAAGTCGCTTGGCGATCCGTGACGTTGGTTCGGTCAAGAGCAGATGCTAACTCAGGTGAAATGATATTTTGAGATCGTGATCGCTTTTTTACAACATTTTGATTAGATTTCTTTGGTTTCATAAATTCTTCATCTGAGGTTTCAGTGCCAGATGTAGACTTGTCAGATAGGTGCATTGAATCAATGTGACTTGTATTTTCAGCTTCTTTTTTTCGCTTTTTTTTCCTGAAAACGTCTGGACTCTTCTAATTCTTTTCTTTTCTGGACACGTTCTTCTGTTTTTGCCAATGCCATGTCAACTCCGGCCATGTATCCCTTACGTTCACCTCGCTGATCTATTAGAAATAGTCTGTCTTCTTCAATTGTAATCAAACTCATGGCATCAGCATGTGCTATATCAAAAATGCGATCAATTTCTTCAAAAAAAACATTTTCATTTGCTGTTTGTGTTGCCGAAGCTTGTTTCATGTTTTTCTTTATTTTAGCCCATTAGTAAAAAATATTTTCAAGTTTTTCAATTGCATTACGTTCAATAGTTGTTGGAATTCTTGCCATATTCCACAAATGAAATACTTCTCGAATGACACACCTTGCACTTTGTCTAACGGTTTGTTTTTCTATTTTGTGAAGATAAAAAAATACTGCAAGAACTTGACGACATGTTGGAAGCTTCATCCCAGAAATATTTGGAGAAACAGACCCAACAAGATAAATGTCAGTAGTTGTTCAAGTTTCAACTTTTTTCGAAAACGAAGGGAAAGATAACTGAGAATTCATATTACAGGATATTTCTGAAAATCAAAATATAACCTGAGTAAAACAATTGTTATCACAAAATGAATTTATTTTTTTCAAGCCTCAAATCAGCACTCATATGAACAAAAATTAAAATGCTTTGCGGTATATTGTCAAAGATAGTTGCACACTTTTAAATTAGAAAAATATATTTAAAAAATATTTAAAATCGATTAAAATAATTATCATAATTAATTAAATTAAATCAAATTAAGAGTTATGTCATAATAAAATAAATAAACAAATGTACATATTAAAAACTTCACAGTAACGTTAGAATTTGAAAATAATGGCAATTAAAAGAGGAAACATGGCCATGAGCGACCTCTAAAAGTCATTCAAATTTGCTTAAATTTTGCAGGAATTAATATAATGATAAAAGGAACAATACGAAAAAGTACCACATTGATTTTTGAAACTTTTAAAATTGTCAATATATTTGTGCACCACCCTAATATATATATATATACATATATATATATATAATATATATATATATATATATATATATATATATATATATATATATATATATATATATATATATATATACATATATATACATATATATACATACATATATATATACATATATATACATACATATATATATACATATATATATATATATGATATATGATATATATGATATATATATATATATATATATATATATATGTATATATATATATATATATATATATATATATATATATATATGATATATATATGATATATATATATATATATATATGTATATATATATATATATATATATATATGATATATATATGATATATATATATATATATCATATATATGATATATATGATATATAGATATATAGTCATATAGATGACTGATTGCTAATTAATAATAAAAGTAATTTTAATATGTCAAAAAATTTGGGAAATGCAACCTCTGGGACCTTTGGGAAATGCAAACCTCTGACAACCTAAAAACACTTAACAATGTGAGAAAAGACAAAAGGACCAGACCAGAAGAAAAGACCAGAAGCTAGAGTTCATATATGCAGTGGTGGTGTAGTGGTAGAACATTTCCTTCATAAGCAAGTGGTTCAGAGTTGAACCCTCACCACATTCCTGGTAGTACCATGCTCAACTTGTTTCTCTGCGCAGCAATCTTGTGCGTCAAGGCTCCTAATTCAGAGTTATAGAGTTGAGAGAGGGTTGTAACCACAATTAAGTAGCCTCCTTGTCTGTAGTACCCTTCTCGATCTTGGGGAGGTGAATAACATAAAAAAAAGACTTCTTGAAAAGAAGAGCTCTTCAGAATTATTATTCTCCATTTATTTCTCAACTGCTACTTTATAGCTTAACTACTAAGCTTCAAAAATCTTGGATTTGATTGATTTGATTGGATGGGATTTGATTGATTGGATTGGATGGGATGAGGTAATTTGGAAAAAACAAACAAACAAACAAAATTTACTTCAAAATTATAAAGTAAGACAATTCGCACATACCGGTATATATTTTCGTTCTAAAATTCCATTTTTAATAAAAGCATGAACGCAATCAACTGTAATAAACTTTGCCATTAATTTGCATACCCATGATGGACTGAGGAAAATGATGTCATTTAAACCTTCATTTGCACCTTCAAAATAGAGTATAGTACCTAAAAAAATAATAACATTTACAGATATGAATAGGTTTATTATTTTCTATTTTTGTTAATCATTTTTTAAAACTAATACACTAACAAAAAAGCTGCAAGCAACTACTATCAAGTGGAAAAAAAGAATAATTTTAAAGAGCAATGGTTGACAGAAAACTTGAACATTTTAGTTTTAAAGCATAGAGGTGAAAGAAAAAAAAAATAGAAAAAAAGTTTTAGAGCATGAAGGTACAGATTCAATTAAAAGATGCAACTTTGCTGAATGACGATTCAAGAGAATTTTAGTTGATGAAACTAAAGATAAGAGTTTGTTTGAGCAGCAACCAAAAGTAGAAAAGAGAAAGAGATGCAACCTTATAACAATGGTGGAGTGGCACCAGCTTTGCAGATAGAGCAAGTCTAAATAAATTTTTAGATCTTGTCCTAAAGAGAAATAGTATCATTATAAGATATTAAAGCAGTATTCCATACAGGGACAAATAAGGGATTTGTAGAATGGAATCAATTTTGCTAAACATGAAAACTTTACATCGAATACAAAAATTTCAAATAATAATAAAATAAAAACTTCAATCATTAAAGTTAACAACATTAAAAAGAAAATGATTTCTAATTTAATATTTATCTGCTCATTAAAATCATTTTCAAAACTGATAATCCTAATTAGTTTATATTAATGTTATTAACTTTATACCCAGATGCTATTTAAGCTAAATACTTGATATTAAAAAGACAATTGTTTTATGAAACTTTAAAAGTTAAGAATGTTCAGACGCAGATTCAATATAGGGTGAGGGGGAGGGGAGAATTTTAACAGTTTGGTGTATTAAAACTACTGTGACCGTATAGTTATAAATGTTCACAAAACTACAATAACTTTGCAAACGGTAAACAACTTTTTTTTAAAGTAGAAAAACAAAAAACTATAAATTAAATAACTTAAACATTGTTGAGCAATTTAGATTTGTTTTTATGTGTTAAAAATGTTTTAGGTGAAAACCAGTATGGCACCCACTCTCTACTTGAAGACTACTCGCACTGGCTCTACTTTCAAAAATGTATATGCATCAATATCTTCAACAATGATGACTTAACTAAAAAATGAAAAGCGTAAATCCATTCTTAGTTGAGAAATAAATGACATCATATTTTTCTAACTTTTCTATACTCTACAAAATCAGCTTTTTAAATCTTTTTTTAAACTTTAAAATCTTATTAAACTTTATGATGTTTCAGAAAATCAATAATAATCTGTGATCAACAAAACATTGTTTTTTTGAATTGACATTAACTTTAAACAAATGTGAGCTTGCTGAGAGCATTGACTTTGAATATCAATAAACCGTTTTGCTTTAACCCAGCTGCACAGATGTCCTTAAGACAACGTTTCTTTTCTATATTCTTAGTTAAATACAACATTTGTTATAAATTATTATATAAATATTAAATAATATATTTAACATTTTTCTCAAAATAATAGTAAAATGAGGACTTAAATTTCATTCTTTAATCATTTAAGAAAAAAGAATTTTCACCAGTAAAATAAAAGTAATCTAACTCAGTTAAGCAAAAAAAATTAATAGATTTATTAAAGTTGATTATCGTAAACAAAAACGCTTTTTCAAAATTTTATGAAATTGATTTTATGAAATTGTGTTATATGAATTTTCCAAATTACATCTGGATTGTTTTTAAAATCTTGTTTTTTGAAAATATGATTTTTTTTTCGATCAGTTGACCATGGCTGGCAAGAATTCAAATTGGGAAGTCAAAATAGCAAATTTTTGTCTTTTTGGGCGATCATTTACTGTTATTTTCCACGCTAACAAAATATATAATTTTTTAAAGTTTGCTAAATATTTTTCTGTTCCTTTATTGAATATAGAAACAAGTATAGAAACGGTTGGTGTAGAATAGACTTACCTAGAACTGTATTTTAGGGGTCTGAAGTCTAGTTCTATTTAATATTCAAAATCGAGTTGTTTTATTTTTTAAAACTGTTTCAGTTCCGTCCTCATTTAAGATATGAATAAATAATTTGCATGAGATATGAATAAATAATTAAATAATAGATCTTTAAATTCAATTCAAAGTTGTGATGCAGTTAATCATTTAATAACTGATGAATGCAAAATCTTCCTATCTATACTTAAAGGTTTTTGCTTCTGCCTCCATGAAAATAGCTATGCAACTCCTCCTCTTTTCATCTAATGAGGGAACAGCTTTAAAACACAGTTTAATTGTTGAGGCTGGCTGGTGTAAGGTTTCCTGAAATCTGGGATAGCTCTCAATGAGGCTGATTCCATCAATATTTGCAAAATCAGAGTATTAACACTGGCAAGTTGCATATGGATGGTGCCGCTATTATTGCTTTTGGTACACATTGTTGAGGCCACATTAGGAGTCCTATGTTAGGACATAGGGTTAGTTAACAGGACTAAGACAATTGCATAGCTCATTACTTAGAAGGCTGGGCTCTATCTATGAACGTGTCAAATTCTCTTTAAACTTAAATCATGCCAAATGTAACTCAAAATATTAAACATAAAAACCATCCCACCATCTAATTGTTTTAATATTTCTTTTACAAATGATTGTGATCTGCAAAGCAACCTTCCATCAGTTAAATCTTAGTGAGACCTATTTAAATTCTATTATTCCTCTTTATAATCTCAGTGTTCAATAGTCACATGTTTGGCTTGGGACATACATACGAATCAATTCACTTATTTGTCTTTATTACTTATTACTACCCTAAAGCTGACTTGGATTCTTTTCATGATTCTCTTCCTGACGGTCCTTGGGCTGATATCTTTTCTCTCTCAACTAATAAATAACTAATACTTGTGTCTTGACAAAAAAACCTGCTCTTTTTAATTGCTTAGAATGGGCATCTTGAATCTGATCTAACATTTGCAACAGATTGGGGCTTGCAGTGGATTGTAAATTTTAACTCCAACAAAACTGAGTTACTTAATGCAAACAAATATCACAATACTGTCGACATTCTAATATTAATGAATATCTACCCTTTCACTGAGCCCTTTTATATCTTTTTGAATTATTGTTTACTACTGACCTTTTATGAAAACCATATATACAACCAATTGCTAAATTAGCATCGACTAAGGTTGCTTTTCTTTATTGTTGTCACCATTTTTTCTATCCTGATTCCATTTTCTACCTCTAAAAATCTCTTGTATAGAATACTGTTGTCATATTTGGGCTGGTTCTTCTAATGATGCTCTTTTTTTCTTTTTGACACGATCCAAAAAGGTGTTGTAAACAATTGTTGGACCTGCTCTATCTGTAAAGCTTGGTCCTCTTTTTCATCGTAATAAAATTTATCTTTCTCTTTTCAACATGGTCATATTTTCTAGTAACTCCCAACTTACTAGTGGTTGCTTGCAGTCTTGTTAGGAGTGAATCAGAATAAAATAAAACTAAAATAATAATGTCAAGAGTTGATTTTATGTTGGAATAAAGTTATCAGTAAAGTTTATCAGTGATGTTATCTGACATTTCAGCAAATTTTTGAAGTGACAAAGAAAATTTGATGTGTTAGTATAATGCTTTTGCTACAAGCATAATAGAACCTGGAATTATTTTTATTATTGAACTGCTTTTCTATGCCTACGTACCAAGTCAAGACATAATAATCACTATCCAATCATTTCTAAATGAATACATTTAAAATATAAATAATGAACTAAGTTTTTGTGATAAATATTATAATTTATGCTGATTATTGTTATGGTGATTATTGCTTCATTTAAATTTAAGAAAGTAAAAGTTAATTATTGTAAAGTATTAAAGTATTAAAGTAGTAAAGTATTGGGGTAAAAATATTTATCATACTTGTACACTTGATTTAAGTTGCTTTGGGTTTGGAATTTCCAATTTGAGTTTTTAATTTGGTAATTTTTATTTGTTGCTCATTTTTTATTAAATTTATTTACTTGAAACAAGTTTTTTTTTATTTTTGTCTGACATAAACTTTATAGGTTCACCATTTTGACTATTGGTTGTTAACTGAACTGGTAATTGTAATTTATTAAGTTTAACCTTATTTTTTCAAAAATTTATTCAAAAAAAATCCATCATAAAAATTTAATTTGTTACAAATCAATTCTTTTTATATTTAACATCAGCAAGATTTGAAAGAATTCAGAAAGTCTTAACAACAACTTATGTTTTAATTTTTAATAAGTTTTAAAGCAACTATTTTTATTTTTCTAGAATATTATAAAGGTACATGCAGCCTTATATAATTACAAGTTAACATAAAAGTAAAAGCAAAATAAATAAAAAAGTTGTCAACAATGATATTGTTAGAAAACATTTAAAAGATTTTGTTTTTAAAATTTTTTATAAGCTTTTAGCTTAACACACTATCTTAATATAAATAGCACAGTGAATATTATTATTATTATTAATGCACATAGTGCATTAATAATAATAATAATATTCACTGTGCTATTTTTAATAATAATAATAATAATAACACACACTATTTCTTAGTTTTTAAGTAGTTTCTAGACTTTTCTTATAAGAGTGCTTTCTTAAAAAAGTCATGACCTTTCAAGGTACAAGTTCAAAATGTTAAAGTAGGCATCAAGTAGATAATGTTTAGTAGCATAAAATTATAGGCAATATAAAATCTTTTTTAAAATTTTATATCTAACTAATTTATTGTAGTCTTTTTTTAAATTGTACTTTTAAATTTAAAGCTTCATGTTATAGATGTTAATATTGAAAAATATAGATTACTATAATTCTTAGATTGTGTCTAGTGTTAAAAGATATTTATGGGTAGTTTCATGCTTTCACATGCTTTTAATAATTGGGATAAAAGCCATGACAACATTTTGTTATAAATAAAATTTAGCTATAGTATTGTTAATACTTTTGCTCTTAAAAAAAATTATGTTTTTGGCGTTTCAATAAGTATATAACGATTACATGAATGATTTTTGGTTTAGGATATAATTGTGTTATAA